TGTTGTCCTTATGCCTCCTGTCGAGATATCTTTTTATTCTGGACAATTGGGATTCGTAGTCAGGGTGGCAGAGTTCGAGTCTGACAGCACCGAAGGTGTGTAGTGGGACATGATCACATCCACGACCGGTTGGGGGTTCGCCTTTCGCATGACCTTCTAGGTACTCTTCATACCCTAGACTTCGATTTATAGAGCCTTTTATTAAGCCTCGGTTGCTAGAGTCTGCAAGTGCTAGATTGCATTCCCCATCTGGACAATGACCAAGCGGAGCGTAGATAAAACTCGGTTTGATTGTTCGTGATCAGGAACCATTGGTGTCCAAGAGCATTTCTGATCCAGAAATGCGGTAGTGCGTGGTGTTGGACCCCTTGAGCGCGGCGCAGACGGGAGCAGTGAGGTCCTTCTTGAAAAAGTGATTTACTTCCGGAGCACCGTAACAAACTGCAGTTGACATCAGCAACGTGGGAATGTAGTTCACTCTTAGAGCACAAGCATCGAAAGATGCAGGAGAAGGATTTGTGTTCACCGATCTATTAAACTGCAATCAGTTGAAGGCGGTTACAGTGCTTGCAGCGTAACTTCTCCTTCTCCAGTTACGGGTATGTGCAGACAATGGATTTGGGGAGCTTCTATACCGCTGCACTCGCTAACCCGGCTTTCCCACTCACACAAACATGACGCATTCCGTAGACTACGTCCGTGATTCGATCAGTAACCACAGCACGATCGGAATAACCTTACTGGAGGTACACCGTTACCAATCTCGCGCTTCGATGTACAAGTGTTTGTGCACCAGAACCCATATGCTTGGCACCAGATCCATGCAACCGTCCTCTGAGAGTGGATCCATCTCTTGGTGTTTCCTAATTGCGGTGCAGGAGCTGACGCCACATCTGGACCTCCTCGGTCCTGAATGCTAAATACAGTGCAAAGGGGGATCAGTCACCAGTGTTGGATTGCATCGCAGTCGCAACCTTCATCTCGTGCACGGCATTCCATTCTTTGACATCCGATGCTTTCGTTTGGATCGTTGATGTCGACGACGTGACATGGATCCCTGCACTTTGATATTGTGTTAGTACGCCTTTAATAGTAAGTGAGATCAGTGTATTCTGAGAAAAGATTGTTTATCGACGATTCTGGAGAGGAAATGGTGCGTTTTTCGATGATTGTTTGATTAGGAGTTATTGTAATTCTTGCATGCTCAGTGTTTTGATTGGTGTTGATTCCGTAATTACAGATACAATCAAACAGAGAGGAACATTTTGTAAGAAAAATGGAAACATTTGTAAAGTAAGAATGCTTACATCGATGATAAAAAAAAATCATATATGTAAGCCATATGTATATATATATATGTATGTGAATCGGTAAATGAATGTTCGTTAGATCTGACAGTTGAAGGATAGACTGAAAAAATGCAAGTGAAAATATGTGCCATTTCAATTCCATGCGACTTTTACAATGCAAGTACAAATAAAAATAATTGTACATGCAAACATTATGGAGTTTACATAAAAGACATGCAATAATTTTTAATTTGTATATTACTTATTATTATTTAAATTATAAGTTCAAATCGCACAAGGAGTTGGTACTACAGCAACAACCTATACAATATTAGTATTATTTTGTTAAACCATAAGAAGGACTTGAACATTTGTTATCAAACAACATTTATAATTGATGATAAAGGCCGTATAACTTTGCCTGTGAGACATAGAATCAGTTCCTTTATATTATGGTGGATTGTTGCCTACTTCATAAATTCAGCTTTTTTTCACAAAAACCAATATATTACATTTTAAGAAAATAATCCTTGGTATTCGTATTTTTTCTTTCTTTTCATCTCATATGTTGAAAACATACAATTGTTGTACTTTAATCAAGTTTTCTACTTTCAGTTTAGTTTATATTTATATTTATATATATTTAATCTTAATCATACATTGAATTTAGTTCAAATAAGCTGCTGTTAAAAAAAGAAAAAAACAAACAAAGTTACTTCAAATAGGCAAATATATCAAAAATATTTTTACTTTTCAATTCTGTTTCAACGGACGTTGAAGCTTCCAACTACTCAACATATTACTAATTTTTATAACTTCTTTTGAGTTTTGTAATTACTAGAGTGTCATGTGTATATATTTGAAGCAATCGTCACATAGTTCAATGAATGTTGGAATTATATCTTATGGAATTACTATTGTTTAACATATATATATATATATATAATTGTTAAAGATGGTATCAAGCTAAACATGTACACACACAATCAATTCCCAAGTAGTCATATATCTCAAAAGGAAAATAATGAAAATTTTAGGCATGTGTTAAACTTATCAGTGTATTATATAATTATAGAAAAATATTTGCTACTTTCGAAATTCAATTCTCAAGTTTTCAAACAACAAGAAAAAGTCATAGAATTAATAAGTAGGAAAAGATTTTTTTTATTTGTTATTTTTTTTGAAGTTTATATTGAAAAAAAATATATTCTATTACGATTTTAAATAATATAACAACTCCTGAAGATCTTTTTATCATCATCTTTATGCCCTTCAGCCTTAATGTATAGCCTTACATTTGTAAAGTAAAAGGGAAAAGTATCCAAAAGTGGTGCAAATTTAGAACAACAACATTTATGACTTAATTTGGGAGTAGGTTTATGTGCATATATCAATCTTTAAATATATATACTTTTTTAAAAGTAACAAATTTGTGCTTTGGAATTGAAAAAAGATGAACAGTTGTAATTTTTTATAATTGTGATCAATAAATATTAAAAGGTTGAAATAGTTTATTTTGGGTTATCGCCACAGAAACCAAATCACCATCTGTTAGCCAAATAAAATTTAGATATTCGTTTACACTTTCTAAAAGTTGTTAAACTGTAAATTTTAACCATATTTTAGTATCAACACTTAAAACTCTGTATCAGCTTGATTGTAATCAAAGTTATTACAATCGATAAAATAATCACGTCATGAGAAACATGGCAAGTACACAGTTTTGAATCCAAAATGACAAAGCTTCAATTATGTGTAAAATTAATGAAATTTGCAACAAAGTTGATTGATTGATTGAACTTTTTTATGCTACTATATGATATCATGGTATCCAAATTAATGGCACATTTTATGAAACCACATATGGTACAAATACAAGGGGCGAAAATAAAATAAAATAAAATAAAGTAATTTAGACCTCAGGTCTTAAATTAGAGCTAATAAATAAGCATGTTTGTAAATTTTCATCACAATTGCAAGGGACAAAATAGATGGCAACTGAACTGTGGAGGGAAGGGGGTGGAACTGGCCTGGGAGGTCCAGCCCATTAGGAATGCTACGGCAAACATGGATTATCAGCATTGAATTTAGGATTAGGGTTAGGGTTTGGGAAAAGATAAGAGGAGACATGTTCAACTAGGGTTTTGGCTCCTTTTGGGAGGTTTTGTATCTGTCCACATTGGGGCAATGGGTCCATCCCATTCCTTTGCATTGTGGGGAATGGGAAGGACATCACTTCTTATCATCATCTTCATCCTCACCCATGTTTTATTTTTTGTTTAATTTTTTTTGTTGTTTTGTTTTGTTTTTGGGTCACCATGAGGATGAAATGAGTGGGGTTGACGTCCATATCGCATCGTGTGTGGTTTACATTCCTACATGCACATTGTGTGACTTCCTTCCTTGCAGTTGTTTCTTTCATTCTTGCTTCTTCAAACTCTTTATTATGAACCCATTAAGTTGCCATCAATTTACTCCACCTCCATATTATTGATAATATTATAGATAAATAATGGAGAGAGAGAAAAAAAAAAAAAAAAAAAAAGGCAGAAAAAAAGGTATTGTTGCAACCATACATCCTGATTTTATTTATTTAATTGTTTATTTATTTATTGTTCTCAAGGCATATTTAAATATTTATTTATTTATTTATGAAGAAAGCACACTTTTCTGACAATGCAACTCACTATTGTCAAAGGGAAAGGATGCTTAGCTCTAATTGACTTTGAAACCCACCTCTTTTTTTTTCTTTTTTTTTTTTTTTCTCTCTCTCACATTATTCCTTTCTTTGACTATTTAAAGGAATGATCGTTTTAATTTTTAATTTTTAATTTCTTTTTTTACAGTCATGATAAAATATTGCAATTTATTAAATATGCAAATTTGACCGACATTAGCTTATAAATTATCTTATTTTCTTTTTCTATTATCTGTTCTCTTGTCTTCCATGCATTTTTTCTAAAAAGAATGAGAGAAAGTATGTTGTTTTACAATTAAAAATCACTTGCTATAGTAAGCATGCATTTGGTGGCTTGTAAAATTAGGGTTTCCTACATTGAGTTAGTTCATATCACTCAAAAGTAAATTGATCACCATCTCTATACAATTGTTTGTTATTGTTGCGATTTATATGTGAATAAAAGGGTTAACCTCCTCTGTTGTTTGAATATCATAACCTTGAATTTCGTGTTACTTATTTACTTTTAATTTATTTTTCATTAAAAGAATGAAACAAAGCGTTCATAAAATTATCAAGGTGTTCCTTGCAAACAATTGTTGGAAACATGTTACAAACGAAGCTGTGAATTGTAAATCTACCCTACCTCGTTAAAGAATGATATTAAGCCCTATTGGAATTATAGCAAGCACTTTTAAAAAATCTATAAACAGTAATTGAAATACTCTACATGTTGATAAATTCAAACATGGGTGAATCAGCCAAGAGGACAAAATCTGAATCTGGAAATCACGGGCCCACCAACCTCACTCTATTCTGCTGATCTGTTCAGACAGGTTTCCAGTATTCCTACACGTACAACTACCACGTATAAAAATACACCTTCATACCCGCAAAAATTCCAACGTTTGGTCTGAATTCTAGTTCAGCTTAGTTCGTTTTTTCACATAGAAGAGACTCACAAGTAAAATAAATACTTCATACATTCTAGCAAAAAAATAAAAAAAAAAAAAAAAAAAAAAAAACCCAGAATCAAAATAAGCTTGTAGTGACAAACTTTGAGTTTGACCTTCACCCATGGATTCATTTTCTGCAGAACCATCGCAGTAAAATTGGATACATGGCTTGGTATAATGTCACCTGCCAACAGGTTCATTTATTACAAAGGTTTTTGAATCTAAGTCTCAGCCCTATCACTGAAGTGACTGTTAGATAGAGTTATGGGATGTGAAGAATATATATTGGCATGGTGATAAGAAGAAGCGAACGGACATAAGATAGGTAGAAAGAAATATATATATATATATATATATATATAGATGGATAGACGGAGTGGGCAGTATATTTGGTTCACCTGAGTGGGGGCTACGTCGTCAGCAGCGCGGTGGCATATACATACATACAAAGAGATACAAGGTGGTGTTGGAGTACGTGCATGCCAACGCCATTGCATTAACTGCTGAGAAGTGGCTTTTTGAGGGTGATTAGGGCCATGAGGAAGGACAGCGCTACTGCCCTGATGCTGCAATCGTAGCAGACAATGCAACAAAGCAGCAGCAGCAGCAGCAGCAGGGCACGGGGGAGCGGGAGGGAGGGGGGAAAAAGCCTACGCCCAGACCTACGCACAAAAAGGGAAGGCGAGGATGGAAGAGAAGAGAAGAGAAGAGAAGAGACGACTCGAGAGGGGCTACGACCACAGTGACACGAGCAGAAGAGGACGGAAGAGAGAAAGACAGACAAACAGACAGAAAGAAAAAAACAGAAAGGGAGAGAGAGAGAGAGAGAGGGGGGGAGAGAGGACGAGTCTTCACGGAGACCGAAGCGGAGAAAAGGAGGAAGAGGCCAAAAGGCAGATATTGTCAGGCGCCACAATCATCACACTCTCTTCCGCAGCAGAAAGAAACGCATCTCACTCGCTGCTCATGGGTGGGTGGGTGGGTGCTTCTCTCCGCAAACCCTAAAACCCAGGTCCCTCCTCCAGCCCCCCATTGCGGATGCCTTCTCGCTGTAGCAAAAAAATAAAAATAAACAAACAGAAATAAAAATCCCCCTCCCCCAAGGAGGCACCGATGCGGCGTAGTCGACTCGGATCGATTTCTTTGTCGATTGTGGGAAAATAGAAAAGAAAGAAGACAACGCGGAAGTTAATGTACGCGCAACAGTGCAATGCAGAGAGACTGTTGCAGCAGCTACAGGGAGCCACCACAGGGGTCAGGGATTGTACCGTGGTACCAGCCTCGCAGCAAACAGTGAGATTATACAGGATTCTTCCCAAGTCTAGCTGCTGCGATCGAGCTCTTCTGATTGAAGAATGACGAACAGGCAGGCGAGGCAGCGAGAAGGCGCACAGAGACCATGGTAGTAGCCTTGTTTTGAAAGAATGCCCATCAATCAGAAGCTACAGGAAAGGATGAGGAGGGAATGAAGCGGAGAACCCGAGTCACGTGCGAGGCTGCGACAGGTGGGGCACCTCCGTCACTCCGCGATCGATCGATCGGGCCCCTGCTTGCCCTGCTTGCTCCCTCCCTCCCTCCCTGCGTACCAATTTCGGCGCCCCAGAGAATTGAATACTCCCATCCCCGAGTGCATGAAGCAAGCAGGGATTGGGGGGGGGGGGGGGGGGAACGTCGTGGCGAGCACGTACCCTTTGAACTCTTTTATTACTCGTCACGACCCTGGTGGCAGTCGCTGTGCCGCGCTGATCACGGCGCGGGCGTCCGGGAGCCCAGGCGCGGCGCCGCTGGGAGCAGCCCAGCCAAGCATGAATTTTGGTGACGTGAGCGAGACGAGCAGGGTGTGAGAGCCGCAATGGCGCCGTTCGCTGCTGCATTTGCACAGACGGGAAGAACTCGCCGTGCCGCGCCGTGATGTGCCGCCCAATTTCTGTGCCGCACAGGACTGCTGCTGCATCTGCTGCCTCTTCTTCTTCGTCTTCGTCTTCTTCTTCTTCATCAGCATTACACTTCTCGTCCGTTGCCACTCCAGGCCTCCCCGCGTTCGCTCCCCCAGCCCCCGCTTTCCCCCTTTGTGTGCCTGGCCTCTCCCGTCACCACCCGCCGCCTGGCTTTCCCTCCCTTCTCCTCCTCGCTTCCCTAGCCACCATGTCCAAGCTCTTCTGCGCCTTCACAGACAAGAGGCTCCACTCCCTTGCGATGGCGCGGTCTCGGTCGTAATTAATCGATGGTGCGGGCGTCGTCTTTCCCACTCTTGTGTGCTGTATTTCGGGGTCCTTGATTGTTGTGCTGGTTGTTGTGTGGGCTCGGCCCATTGGGGATGCTCAGCCGTGGACGGTGCTATGGCCTCTGTTTCGTGCACGACTCGAGGTGTGTTCGAGGGTGGCGAGATCGGGGACGGATTTGATGAGTAGGGAGTAGTAGGGAGGTGAGTGCGGCTGAGAGGTCTAACGCGGAGGTTGAGTTTTAGGCTGTCCATTACTTTTTATTTCACCTTTGATGGTGGGTTTGCGAGGTTTCTTATTTTGTTTTTGATTTGAGGTGATGACAGTGGTGGTTGGGCTCGGAATTTTGGGCTGGTGGTGATTTTTGGGGTGAGGAAGAGGTCGGTGGAGGTCACCCGGAGTTTCATCGAGGTGCGAGTTGTATTGGCTAGGTTTTGGCTTTGTTAATTGATCGGAGAGGTTGGAGTGGCCGATCGTGGGCGGTGAGAGGACTGAGGAAGGGAATCTGCTGAAAATGATATGTGATGCAGTGGGGGTTTGAGTGGTTTTTCTTGCGGTTGTGTATGCAGTGGCGCGATGGTTGTGCTAGATTGAAGTGCCGCCTCTATCAATCGCGATTGATGGAGACTCTGGTCTGCTCTGGGTGGTTTCGCATTGTTTAGAGTGTATTTTTGAAATTATGTTTGAAATCGTTGCTCTCCTACGACTATTCGATGACGAGGGTTGCCTGACTGTAATAGAGCAGAGTAGCACCGTGTTCGGTTGGCTCCTGGTAGTTCCTGGTTTGGCGATTTTGTCGATTGAGCTGAAAATTGCATCGCGTACCCTGCTTTTTGTAGTGAACTTACGCAATACGTAGTAGAAGCGAGACAATGTGTGCGTTGAAATTGTTATATTCGGCGGTACTTCTGCTGGTTGCATCGGTCTCTCCGCGTTAGGGATTTCCACCGGGGAGAACCTGATTCTACTCGCATAGGGACGTCGTCGTCTGGATTTGTCAGTCGCGTCGGCTGTTTGCAATTGCTTAACATTGCAGGACAGTCCTTAATTTGGAGTCTAATGCACCCTGCATCAGTTAGAAACGACCAAATTGACAAGCCTACACCACCTGTCCTCTGTTCAGGTGTTCCAAGCGAGCGTTACGAGAGGTGATCTTGTATCCGATGATGATCAGAAGTACGGGAAGGGAGTACAAACAGCTTTGAGAATCTTTTAGAAAATTATTGGGCCTTTGAAGCTTTGGAAGGATGGAGCAAGACGACGAGGAGTTCGAGCAACTGCTGCATGAAATTCCCCAAGCCACTTCGCCAGATACGCCGAATGAGGTCCCCCGAGCTACCTCTGCTCCACCTCATTTGGAAGAGCTGCAGCGTATGTATGAGCATAATGTTGATGCACATAATTTTGGGTTGCGGCCGGATGAGCTACCCGTGAAACCCTTCATTGACATTCGATGTGACGAACAATACGAAGATTTCTACAAGTCGTACTCTGGGGCTAAAAAACTGCCCCCACCAATGGACAATCGAGCCTTGTATAACGACCTTCCTGTTCTTTCCCCGAAGGCCAGTCAGCTCTCTTACAGTCTCGCTGGACTTCAACTTGACAGCCCTCGCACTAGACATCGAAAGCATCGACAGCTTGAGGCGCAGCAGAAGCAGGTTCAACAGCAGCAGCAGATGTTTCAACAACAGCGTGAACCCTCCCCTAATCGTCATTCTGCTGCGGCTCATCACTTCCCTAATTCACCTTCAAATCAGATGTTTGGCGAACCGAAGATGACGTCCGCCTTTGGTAACTTGAATTTCGATGGTAACATCAGTAGGGGATTGCAATCAATTCCTGATGACACAGGAGACAGTTTGTCCCTGAGTCATGGTGCGAATGCTGGGCTAAATGGAGGGAACATGGCAAAAACTGGTCAAGGTTCTGTAGAGTCCAATGGTATTTATGGAAAGATGGATGCCTTTGGTGTAGGATCGGGGGGTTACGGTGCAGGATCCGGAACTTCGTTGGAGACATTTACCTCTAGGTCACCCCCTCCAATGGACCTGTTTCCGAGAACTTCGTCTGCAATTGATGCACTTGGTAACGGCCTGTACAATGGCATGGGAGATTTTTCGCAGGTCTCCTCTCAAGCCGTCGAGAAGTTATTGAGGCAGGGTTCACCAGGGTTGAATAGTTATACAGCTGCGAGAGGTGGGGAGGCTTATGGATCTGCTGTTGCATCTCCCTACGAGCAGCAGCAGCAACAACAACAACAACAACAGCAGCAACAGCAGCAATCAGAAGTCTTAGAAGCTGTACATGCGGCAACACGTGTCCAAGCTGCCTCTGCACCTGTTACGGACTTCTACTCACCTTCATCCCAGCAGCAAATTTTGTACGACAAGGATTTTTCCTCTATATACGAGGCTCAGCGTCTCCAGGCACAAATGGCGGCTATTAGGTATGCACAAGCTCAAGCGCAAATGGAGGCGCAGATGGAAGATGAGAAGAGGAAGCAACAGCAGCGTCTGATGATCCAACAGCACCAACAACAGTTAGTTGATCGCCAGAATCAGATTCTTTTGGCTAGTCTGCAAGCCCAGCAGACTACGTATGGTAGGGGGGGTATTGCCCCCACAATGAGCTCTATGCATAATCAAGTTGCTTTACAGAAGTTGCGTCAGCAGCAAATGTTAGAGGGTCTTTGGGCCACCCAGGGGTTGGTGCCAACAGCAAGTTCTCGTACCACTCCTGCCACCAGCACATGCAGGTATTATAATCAGGGTTACTGTAGCCGCGGTGATATTTGTCCATTTCTACATGACCCATCCGGAGGTAGTAATAGAGTATGTCATACAGTTCCTGCATCCCTGAAAGAGGCTGCTCGAAGTGGGCAGTCTACGACTGTGTCTCGGGATGAACGACTGCCTGCATATCCAGAGAAAATACTTCAAAGGCGAAGTCCGCGTGCGAGTAATGGAGGGTCTTCTTCGGCATCTATTTCCACTGTGTTTTGTAGGAAAGGAGATGTATTGACTAATGGGCATGCGAATGGTTACAGCAATGGTCACATTGTCATGGGTGGTACAGCCCACATGCCCTCACCATATATAGCAGACCCGCAGACTCATCGGGCTATTCAGGAAAACGTAGAATTCGATTCTGGACTATCGGTGGCCCATCATTTGCAACAGCAACAACCGAAGTATACTAAGCTCGAAGAGGTTGAGGGCCGTATCTATCTGATTGCAAAGGATCAGCACGGTTGTAGGTTTTTGCAGAAGAAGTTCGATGAGGGTGGGCATGAAGATGTGCAGAAAATATTCCATGAGATAATTGGCCACATTACAGAGCTGATGAAAGATCCATTCGGAAACTACCTGGTACAGAAGTTACTAGAAGTATGCGACGAGTCCCAGCGAATGGAAATCTTACGAGTTGTGACCATGGATGGAGAGCTGGTCAAGATATCCTTGAACATGCACGGGTAAGTCGCTCAGGGTTTTGGTGTACGTAGTTAGTTTTGAGAATTAGGATTGTAGGTCTAAATAATGTTTGTCATTCTAAGTTCATTTACAAACGTTCTGGTAGTAGCTTTTTGAGGATAGCAATTCAAATTTGGACTCATGTTTGTTCGCTGTTCTTTCAGGACTCGAGCTGTGCAGAAGCTCATCGAGACATTGAAGTCTCCTGAGCAGGTGACTATGGTTATTACGGCCCTGACTGAAGGGGTCGTTGAGCTGATCAAGGATTTGAACGGCAATCACGTGGTGCAGAGATGCTTGCAAAAACTCTGTCACGAAGATAGCCAGGTCCGTGGTGGTGTTGTGGACTTTTGTGCATGGGTTAGTTAGTGTTCGGTTCATTGATCTTGGTTGACGAAGATCGCGTTCTGCTTTCGTCAGTTTTAGGGCCAGTACTCATCTATATTGGGTGTTCTATTGAACAGTTCATCTTTGATGCGGCTGCTGCACATTGCGTGGAGATCGCTACGCACCGTCATGGGTGCTGTGTTATGCAGCGATGCGTAGATTTTGCTTCTGCTCCTCAGAAACAACGACTTGTTGCAGTTATTGCTGCAAATGCTCTGGCCTTATCACAAGATCCATATGGGTTAGTAGCTTAAGCTGTTGAGTTGCTCAATAAAGCACTAATTTAGATCTCATGGCAGTACATACTGCTGAATTTACGGTTTGTTTGTTCGTCACTTTTGTTTTTGTTTGTTTTTTTCAGTTGACAATTAATTTCACCCACATGGAATATGATGTTCTCTGTAGTTTTTTTGTGCGATTTATTGTCACTTTCAGTTACAGAGATACGTCACAAAGTATGGTACCACTACAAGAGCTGATGTTCTCAATCTTTGTTCGATGCTGCAGAAACTATGTTGTTCAGTACATCCTTGACCTGAAACAAGGATGGGCAACTTCAGAGGTGATGGTTAGGCTAGAAGGCAGCTATGCCTTTTTGGCTATGCAAAAATTTTCTAGTAATGTGGTTGAGAAGTGTCTTAAATTGGGTATGGAGGAGAATCGTGGTCGCCTGGTGCGGGAGCTGACAGCTAGTTCTCGTCTAGGCCAGTTGCTTCAGGATCAGTATGCCAATTACGTCATTCAGTCCGCTCTTTCAGTGTGCAAGGTGTGTTCTTATGGGAGCTTTTAGTTCAATCCTGGAAAATGTTCTCATCTTGATTTATTCGTGCTTTCTGATGTATCTTCTAGGTTTGTTTTGAAATGGTAGCCAATATGATCATTTACCATAATGCAGTTTTTGTATGAATCAATGCGACACCTAGCCCAGGCTCATAATCTGTATTCCTACTCAATGATTGCAGGGGCCTCTGCATGCTGGGTTGGTGGATGCCATACGACCTTATTTGCCAGCTCTTCGCAACAGTCCTTATGGCAAGCGGATATTATCACGCACTAACATCAAAAAGTGATCAGCCAGCATTGCTTGGAGGCTCAGTGGTTACTTTCTGTACACTTCAATCCCTTTGAGCCTTGTTAAGGAGTAAATCTGCTTAGTGGAATAAAGACACTGAGCAAGGTTTATTTTGTGTACGAACCATAATCTGTCTTTATTAGTAGCTCTGATTTTGATGCACACGCAGGAGATATATATTTGATATTGCATCATGCGTGCAGTTATCAACCATTTAGTATCTTTATGACGGATGTACAAAAAGTACGGCGGTCAATGGTAGCAGGGTAAAGTTTTGGAAGGGGCTCTACTGTCTAGCGAACTGTATTTTGGGTGAGGAGGAGCAGCTATTGGTCTTGTACAACAGAGCCCTGCAAACAAAATTATGGTGCTGGCTACCGCAGTCATGCAGTTGGTTTCAGAGTAGTGAGTGTGTCAATCGACTCCAGAGAAGCTGTTGCAGGATCGCTATCCCCATTCAGTTGAAGGGTAGAGGGTATGTATGAGTAATAAGAGGGCACCCAAGGTGTGGGAGAGCAACTATAGCCAGGTTGTATCAAATGCCAATTTTCTGCTGGCCGTGGTGGAGGAAAAGGATGTATTTTTTTCTGGTGATAGGCATTGTGCCGGAGGTATATGTATCTTACGTGTGCCGCTCTGCACTGTTGTACCGTAGACACACACTTTGTAACTGTTTCACATTCAATACAACATTGCTATTATCTAGCGCATTATGTCTTCGAGGTTTATATATTCCTTCTGCCACTGTAAAATCTTTACTAAGAGCCGATTCTGTGGGGTCGGGGTCTTTGTTTTTTTCTCAAATTGTTATGTGCAATTTTGAGTTGAGTAGCTTTAACAACCATATATGTACTTCATACTTCTACACATCTGATAGACTGTACTGTAACATTTCTAATGTATGCATCTAATATAGTTTACGTATCAGTTTCTGTTTCACGCTCTTTTGTGGACAATAAGGGATGTACCTCGCTTTGACATGATTGGCAATTGAGGTTTCTTTAACTTATGGTACTTCCAGTTGTAATATCTTTAGACTCTGTTGTGTACCCTCTCTATGGACTACCTGCAGCAGATATCAGATTTGACCCTTCCATGCTGATTTTTCTCACTTCTCAATCAGTTCAGTAGATTCAAAGATTCATGCATATTCTGCATGCTTTTTACATCTCCTTGTTTTGTCCTCAGAATATTTGGGAACGATCGCCATGAAATGAGTTTTCAGGGGTATTTTTAGAAACGATGTTTTGTCGTTTTACACATGGCTACAGGACCCACCTTTCCCCGTTGATATTTTCCAGCTAGAGCTGTAGTGTGACCTTCCATTTTCAGTTTTCACACTTTCTGGCATATCAGAACAGCAACGGATCAAAGCAATAACGTGAGATTGTGTGTGGTTCATTAAAATGACACGAAATACATTAATGGGAGGATGGAAGTGCAGCCTTTTCATTGTTGGAGGAGCCAATTTGTGGCTGGAGATGTCGGGTTCACAGAATAGTGAAGCAAAAAAGCAGTGAAGACCTGTCATCCTCCCCCCTCCCTCCTCCTTTTGCATGCGTTTTTCTATATTTTATTTATTAAATTTTTGCTTTCAAAATGATTGCACAGAGACTGCATAATCACAGCTCAGACAACTTGTTAGATTGCATGTACAACACCAAGTGGGTGGTCAGTTCTTGTAGTCACAGGTTGAAAGGGATTTGACTCCTCTGCAGAGATGTCAATTTTATTAGTGTTTGCTGTGGTCTTGTTTACTCTTGTGACAATACGAGTATACCATTGCAGAAATTTTCACATTTTTGTAACGAATTGCTGATTTGCAATGAATATGCAATCATATTAAAACTCGTGTTTAATTTAATATAATTTAATTTTCTGAACTCTCAATCAAATGGCCAATCTTCAAATATATATGTGTGTATATATATATATATATATACACACACACACACTCACTTTTAAAAGATAAGAATTTAACATAAGTTTGATAGTTTATTTTGAAATACTTTTTTTATTTCATAAATTTATAAATTTGGTTAATAATAATACACTACAGATTAACAAAAGCAACTGTAGTTGTTACTAAAGATCAAGTGCTAAGTCCAATAATTCCGTCCCAGACTAATGTATGGGATATTTTAAGTGTGATTCTGTTGGACACTGACAATGCTCAGAATTTGTTTCAAGGCTTCATGTGGAGATAGTTGAAAAATTGAAGTGATTTTAGTGGCAGACTTGAAATATTTTAGAAAATCTCTTTTACATATTGATTTATTTTGAAAATAATTCATTTAAAAATATTACAAATGCAATGTTCAAGAAAAATCACCAGAAACGTTTCCAATCCTATTTTCTTTCAAATTTTTCATGGTGAAGTTGTAGTTATTATTGTTGTTATCTCTCTATTTTCTCAGTATATATATTAAAATTATTTTGAAATAAGGATGACATGGTATGGAGTCATGATACATCTCCAAACTTTATTTAGGCAGAAAAGGCTAATTAAATTTTAAATACTTGAAATTTGAAATTCAAAATACAGATACAAAATATCAGTAATTTTGTTTGTTTGTTTGTGTTGTAACATTGGTCAATGTAATCTTTTCTAGTTATCATTTTACAAATAATTTTAATGTATGATTTCTAATAAGTTGGTTTTTTGGCCAAAATATAAAGAAAATTTACCATTTAATTTTGTGTTAGGCATGCATATATATTGGAAAATGATAAAACAACCCAATTTTTTTTAATAAATCCATCCATATGTTTAAACCATCATTGTACTCTTTCAACCATGTCCTTGTTCCCAACCATTGCCTCCGTTCCAAGCCATTCCTTGCCCTTGACCTTAACAATGGTTGGGAATGGGGAACAATTGGGAACAAGGATGAAGACTGCAAGGGTGCAATGATGATTTAGAGTGAGTCACTTTAGTAAAAGTTTGGGTTGCTTTATCATTCCTCTCTCTCGATATATATATATATATATATATATTAAAAATACATTTGGATAAAATATTGAATAAAGTTATTGATATTTTTAAAAAATATTACATAAGTTTGTTGCTAATGATAAGATTGTTTTCAGGATTTTGTTACTTTGGAAAATATCCTATTTATGTCTTGCAAAAATGAAAATATATTTATATATAAAAAATTTGATAAAATCAGTGAATTAATATTTCTGAGGGAGTGTCATTACTTTTTTGTTAGAAAAAAGTTTAAATTTATAATTTTATAATAATAATTAAAATTTATATTTCTTTTCATATGATTTTTATGTATGTTTTGGATTTATTTTGCATAAATACATGTATCTTTAGCCAAATACAGTGTAATAAAAAAAAATACTTAAATACCTCAATGTTTACAATCACAGAATAATAAATCTGAAATGACATATTTAGTTATAAAATTTATTATATAAACATTGTGGACAAAGAAAAAAATAATATATATATATAGAGAGAGATATAGTGTATATAGTACATTTATTATAAAAATCAATACAATATTTAGAACATGTCATGATAGGTATTTGTATTAATTTTTTTTTGTAAAAAATACAATAGAATATTATTTAATTGAATTAGACTATTTGTATGAAATATTAATAAAGATAATTACATATTTCTAAACAATGCAATGAAAAGAATATAATAATCAAGTAAAATATTAAAAAAAAAAAAGTTTCTATTATAAATAATTGAGAAGTAGTTCTAAACTATGGATGTTGCTAATGCCACTAGAACTTGCCATCACCACATGCTAACACAATTTTTTCTAATGTTACCACAACTTGTCATTCACCACATGTCATCATAGTTTTTACTAGTGCCATCACAAGCTATCCTAAACTTGTGTTGCATATTACAATAAACTTTATAGAACATTGCTACTGCACCACAGTAGATAAAGTGCACATTTTTTATGAATGTGTTTTTAGTGTTCCATAAAGTATATTGTGGTGTGTAATGCAAGTTTAGGGCAACTTGTAATGGCATTAGCAAAAATTGTGGTGACATTAGCAATATCCTAAACTATATAGATCTAATTGAAAATAAATAAATAAATTCTAGAGTAGTCAAAATTAACTTATTATTGCAGTAATTATTATTATTATTATTTTTATTTGTGATAGTTATTATGATTAGTATTATTTCTATCAATTTAGACAATAAGGTTGCTCGCACACAAAATAATTTAATACATTTATAACATGAATTTAATTACTCAATGAATAATTATATTGGATATTTAAGCAATGCATAGGATTAACTAGATCAAAAAAAATAAAAAAAAAAATGTTTTAGGGCAAACGATGATTTAATTTTTTTTTAATACTACACTCATTTCTTCCCATGGTGTCTTAGTCTTGTCCATATGGCATTAGCCCAAAAAAAAGATATGAAATGCACAGATCATGGGGCTCCAAGCATGAATTGATATTGAGTACCAATATAATTTTTCTCTTCTCATCCAAAATGTGTCTGAAGTATTGAAGGCAATCAACTTACAAGTCTATCATTAAATTTTTTAAAAATACAAATCATGTCTATGCTACATTGAATTGTAAGAACGGTTCATTCTCATCTCAAAACGTCTGGCTAGGTATCTTCTGCAGTGTACTATTACTGTCCTGCATGGAAAACAGAGACGCATACTGTCCACCTTTTGCAATTAGGGTGGAGTGCGTTCCTTCTTCAACCAACGTGCCAGAATCTAGTAAGAAAATTCGATCAGCTCGTCGTACTGTTTCGAGTCGATGAGCGATGACAATCACCTACAAGCAAGTTGTAATCCCATCATCAGTAAAATTGCCGATACGTATGTGCTCTTCAAAAAAAGGTATCACAACCTTCTCATCAGATAATCTATCTATGTAGATAATAACATTTCAGACTGATAGATACATCAGATTTTCGGGCTGTCATTTTAGATCAGTCTGCCTTGCGTACGACAAAAAAACAAAACAAAGATGAGTTCCAAGAGTCAGCATCAAAAATCAACATGATTGGCCATCTATAGTTGCATTACCATGAAATCACGTAATCAAGGAGGAAAACTCACAGTGTGGTCGACCATCAGGCCCTCCAAGGCTTCACGCACAAGCTTCTCTGACTTAGTATCAAGAGCAGATGTCGACTCATCGAGTATCAGAACAGACGCCCCTTGGTAAACTGCTCTAGCAATAGCCAACCTAATCACAATGCAAGCTAGGGATGATTATTTTATCAGTGGATTGTGAAGTGACCGATAATAACCATCTATGTTACTATGAATGGCCCAACACTTCTAGTTAGAACTGGCTCCTTCCTTTATCCAACCTTGTAAGAGAAAGAGAGCCAGTAAAGGAGCATATTTTGAAAATAGACAGAAGAAGATGAGACGGAAATAGAAGCGAGACAAAAGTCCACAAGTCAAATGCAACAATAAAGAGGGAATACCTCTGGCGCTGTCCCCCACTGAGGGTTGTAGCACGGTCACCCAAGTGTGTGTAATAACCATTTGGAAGATTCTTTATGAAGTCGTCAGCATTAGCCATTCGTCCAGCTTCCTCTATTCTTTCCATGTCAAGCGTTTCACTGATATCACCATAAGCAATATTCTCTGCCACGGTGCCAGTAAATAATGTCTGTCATCCATAAACTGTGTCAGTTAAATTCTCATGATGTAAACAAAGAATATCAATATCAAAACTAAAACTTTATAGACGAACGAAAAAAGAAAAAGAAAAAAAAGAAAAAAAAGAAACCCAGAACAAAAAGAAGCAAACCGACCGTTTCTTGAGGAACGATCGCAACGTGCTTCCTTAAACTACATATGTCTAAATCGCATATATCATGTCCATCAATTCGTATACTTCCTGCACATCCAGAACCATGAGCTCTACAGCAATCGAAGTGAAATAGACGTTTACAATCTAAATCAACGCAAACATGGACAGTACAAGTGAAATCACTCCGAATGAACCTGGACATATGGCAAACCAACAAGCACTTCTTCATGATGAATCCGAGATTATAAAACACCATTACTTCGTCCACACTTCCAGATCACATTGCAGAAACACAATCATATCATCAAGCGTCGTAGACGATACCATCACTACGAATAAGACAGCCCAGTCCACAAATCAATTACCTTGAACAGGATCGTACAGGCGAAGCAGAAGCTTGGCTAACGTACTTTTCCCACTTCCAGAGGGTCCTACAAGTGCCACTGTCTCTCCCGCACGAACTTTCAAGGAGAAATCATTCAGCACCCACTTAGAAGTATCCTTGTACCGGAATCCAACATTACAGAACTCTATTTCCCCTGCGACCTTCTCCAATATTGCTGTTCGCCCTTCCCCAGCTACCTGTAGGATATAAAATCTCACGTTTAAGATCAAGGAATGTGTACAAAATTTCGAAAAGAGATTAATCATTCCACGCAAAAATACAGATTCGGAAACTAATCATCCTAGTGAAGTCAATGATACGTGACACATAAGAAACAAGATGGCCGCAACAACTCCTAGGATGATATATCATTTAAACCTTGGGTTTGAAATTTGTCAAGTCAAATAGACGTTCAATTGCTGGTTCTCCTTGCTTCAACTCATTGTAGGCTTTGCCCATAGCCTGATTCCAGACAAACCAAGCAAATCCGTTATGATTGAAGTGAACTGTCACATGAGAATTGTATAGGAAATGTAAATCGCAAGAGTGCTTTCTTTGCATGTTACTAAATTAGTACCTATTTACGATCTACAGCATAGACTCACGACAGAGAAAACAAGAGAAGTCTAATCTGGAAACATCAAGTCCATGAAGCCAATTGATATTAATGGGACGGAGATCCAGATATTTCCAGTAGGTAACCTGGATTGGTTCAATCAAAAGGACCAAAGATGTCACGAATGCCACCATGCCGGCGCCATCAAATTTCCCCTGAGATATAATCCACGTGCCCACACCGAAGAGGGCAATAGCAGTAGCTGCATATACAGCAGTGATAATCTCGGGTATAAAAGCCTTCATTCTCTTCTTTCCTAAGTGTGCTTGCCAGTCCGACTTTGCAAGATTCTCAAATTTTCTCCTTTCAAAGGCCTCGGCAGCACGCGATTTCACTACGAACATTGCAGGTAAAACCTAAACATAGAAGAACACGCAATGAATTCAAATTCAAAGTATACAAGAAGATACATGGAAACCTGGCACAAAATGATACCAAAAAGAACCTTCTGGTAGCCTTACAAATACAGTTTTCCCCGTAACCGACGATCTCTGAGCACGGAAAGACTCACAAGCAGTCTATGCAGATCTCAAAATTTCATCACTTTAGTGCCATAAAAAACCAACCCGATGGCCCAATGCAGACCATGCATGCAGAGCAACAATGCAAGAGGGTTTATCTACACAAAGATACATTAGTGTCATTAGCTAAATCCTATAGTATTAATGAACTCCTTTAGATACCTCATTTAAATATGCTGAAATGCCTGCGATACTTGTTTGTGCATTTTTTGAGAGAAGTCGTAACTTTTCCCCCAACATAGCTATAACAACAAACATCAAAGGGATCACCTGAAAAATCCAAGTCAACATACATACGATTAGCTCGCTCTATTTCTCATAAATCAGTAATGTTAGAATATTGAACATAAAAAGCGCTTTTCAAACAAAAGTATGCAACGGAATCACCAGAACTAGCATTTCGACCTTAACGCAATAAAGTTGTGCTTGCAATGTGAAGTCAACGATATTATGTATTCAATTCTATATATTCATCAAATTAGAATGAAGCTGCACTTGACACTTCGGAGGAGCGTGATGGAAGAAGGATGCGACTAAACATTTTTGGAAAAGATCCGCATCCTGCACAATCTACTGTAGATGGATACAAAGTTTGTAAGAACTTACTGATATAGTTGCGATAGAAAGGAGCGGACTCAATGAAACCATCCGAAAACCCATGGCACCCAACTGAAGCGCACTAGGTACCAACATCTGCACATTCAAAGTCCAGTAACTACTTAAATCCGAACTTGAAAAAATACAATTACTTTAACATGGATTCAATAAATAACAATTGTTAAGATAAGATTACCTTACATAAAATATTAGCTTTCCTATCCAGTTAAAAGAAAAATAGACCAGACTAGAATCATGACAAATAACTATAAATTGCATCGGCAGTGATGATATTGGCGACATTAAGCTTTGAAAACTGCAGTGAAGGCAAAGTGAAGACTTAAGGAATTCCACAAGAGTATTAACGAGCACTTAAATATAGGTCCAAAAACAACAAACATAACACTCTATATTTGTTACTCAATGCTAATAGCGTGTTGAATTTATCAAAGGACTCCAAAGCTTCTCGATTTTCTAAAACTCTCGGGCATGCACTTATTCCCAAACGAAGGTTGATAGGTTAAGGCGAGACACATAATTTCTCTTACATGTAACAGGGAATGAACAGTATCACCGACATCTTCTGCCTCAGCTGTCAACCGAAAGGCAACATCTCCAGTTGCAGCACCGCTTTTTCCACCTTCGAAGTAATCCAAGTCTCGCTCTAGCACTCTTTCGTAAACGTGCGCCCGCAGCTTGTATGTAATTTTCAAAGCTGCTTCCCACAGAAACGCTTGCTGCCAAAATTGAGCAATTGACCTCACCATTACCAAGGTCAGTACCACCCCTGCCTTTGGAACCAACTGCTGCATATCACCCTTCGATAACAAGTTGGATAGATTACCAATTTGCGGAACAGTCAAAAACAGTGCGCCCACAGCGATTGCAGTACAAACCCATCCCTGCAGAATTAATCCCACTTCAGTATATATGAAGGGCTCGATAAGCGGAAAGGTTCTTCTCATGGGGATAAAATAACTCCACACTGGTTTATTCCGAAGTTCTTCATTGGGATCCAAAACGTCACTTCCATCAGGTCCTACAGATTCCGAGGCGGCACTAGAGGAAACGGACGACGAAGCACGACATACTGCAGCAGCGCTTCTCCCCAGACGACTCCGAATCATCGCACAAGTATCCCATGGCACCGGGCTTCCAATTCTCTGCCGTCTACTCTCCAAGCACCTAGAATTAGAATTGCCAAACCCTAAACCTCTGCAACCTGCGAATCTCTTCAAATCCATTTGAAAATTTGAGCACATCATCGCCCCCGAAGTCGACCATCCTGTCATGCTCGTCCCCGTCGGCAATGGGCTTCTAACGAGAACACCCATTTTATCCATGAAAGCCAAATTCTCCCTCTTTCTCCTCTATCTCGCTCTCGCCCGCTCAAAAAAACTCTAAATGCGACGACCACACAACTCTTTCCTCATTGCCGTTGCCCATAATCCCTCTCGCAGCAAAATCACACCTCTTCGCCAATTATAGACACAACCAGTTTCATGATTTCCTCACTGGTGGAATCAGCAGGACAGCGTCGAATTCCAGCGATGCCGATGTGCAGGTACGAGCCTCAGGTGCAACAAAACATTCCCTTATCGATGTGCAATTCGCTGCGTGGTCATCGTCGCGGTGGCGATCCAACACCTTCTCGGTGCCAAATCCAACGAGATTTCTTGTCATCCGCTTCGATGGGCTCCAAGTGAGGAACGGGGATTCGTCCACCGCATTATCGACCCTACCAGTGTAGACACCGACGATTCTCACGCAAGCCATCGATTTCACAGCCTACAATTCAAATCCGTGGCTTACTCGCAGAAGAATCTCGTAGATTTTTGCCGACTGCTAGGAGAAGCTTAACTTGTCGTTTCAAGGTCGGAAGCGTAGTCGAGGTTTGTGTAACCCTAAAAGTCCAAGTTTTAGGATAGAGTACATTCGAAGAATTTTGTGAGCATGAATCTTCGGGAGCATCTTCTAGGACATCACTATAATCAATGAAAAAGTTATTGTATTTTTGAAATCTTCAAACAAATCCACCTTTTGTTCTTTGTTTATTTGTATTGTACCACATTATTTCTTTCAATTTTATCAAACAAACTTATTTATTCATGTATGGATATATATATATATATATATATATACAAATATTAATTAAATTTAGGATTTTACAAAATCAAACCATCTATCCTAACCATCATAAAGAAAAATCAAAATAAAAGATGACCTCTAAATTCATTTCTCCACTACTGAATTTGTAACCAATGAAAACCAACCACATTCATTATGCTTATCATATTCTTTATTATGCTTACAATCATGGCTGCCTCTCATTTTTTGCCTTATATAAAAAAAATGTTAATTTTTTGTTTACAAAGGAGTAAGAAATATACCTTAGAATAGTTTTCTTGCCACACTTCCCATCTCTCTCTCTTACTATCTATCTTATCTCATCCATTGTCAATTTCTAGTACTTCTATTTTTTAACCCTTTGTATTAAGCTTCTTCAATAGTCGCATGTATTTATAATACTATTGCTATTGTTATAAGCTTATAATTGGATTTGATTTGCTTTAGTCTCTAGTCTATTTAAGTTGAAGCAAAATTGTAAAAACATCTATAATATATAGAGCTGCAAAGCTTCAATTAGTATTTTGCAGCCACTTGTTGTCAAAGACAAAAACTTGATTGAAGAAAATAAATAAGTGAAACTTTTTTCAATGAAAAATGATAAATGAAAATAAAAAAATATGTATATGCAAAAGAAATTAAAATGGCTATTGCTAAAAAATAAGAAAATTAGAGATCCTTGAAAACTAAATTAGAAGTAAGAAAGGAGTTAATAAGAGTGAAGAAGGCTTCATTCTTGCTTCTATATATACTATCTAACTAAGAGCTTTGTAGCGACGTTTTATATGACTTCAAACACATGTCCAATTTGTAAGACACCTATCTTAATTTGCAAAGTAAGTTTCTTATATGCGTGCAACATGGTTAGCTTCTACCATAAGTTACCAACACATACGACATGTGGCTAATTTGTTGGCCAAGTGTTCAACCTACCAATTATCTTTAGATACATATAAAGATGAAACCACATCTATAAAGCTTTTAGAAAGCTTTTCTACAAGATATTATTAAATTTATCTATTTTTAATTATTTCTACCTATTCTTAGTATCTAAATAATTATTGGCATAAATATATATATTTGTGATATTACTTCTCCTTCTAAGATCAAGTTCCACAAAGAGTCATGATTACATATTGATGAAGTCCAAGATGTGATAAATTGTATTTGCCACATATTTTGATTTTTATTCTTTTTAAAGGTAGTTAATAGGTTTTCTCAACCATTGATAATATTTCATTCTAAGGCAAAAGGTCCATCTTATTATTTAATTATTTTTGAGGCATTCATAACTTCTTTCAAAGAAAACATTTGTAACAGCATCAAGAGTTGCTTCTACATCCAATAAAATCACCAAACATCGAGAGTCTCTTTTAAGATCGTGATACTTAACACATTGTATTTCATCATTTATTCAATAAAAAAATATGTTGTTTTTAAAGGTCTTTGTATATATTATATTGTCTTGAAGGGTGTGACAATCAAAATGTCTTGTTTGATAAGTCAACAAACAATAGTTTTTGAGTTAAATTTGCTTGCTATTGATTCTCTATCTCCTTAGCGCTACAAATATATAGAAACTACAAACAAGGGTAGAAAGTCAAATGCAATATTTTCTAAATTTTGTTTCTTTTATAGCAAAGATTTGCTTGACTTGTCATCTTGGTTTAGATAGATCTCATTGATGAAAAGCTTTGACCTTCTCTTTTTCTTTTGCAAGATTCTTAATTGGTTTCCATGTGCATTCACTAATATCATATCTACGCTAATGAATAAGATATTCCAACTTAACTTGGCGCCATCTCAAATATAAGAATTTTTTCACTTTGTATTCTTAATTATAATCTAGTTTTATAAGAGGCTATGGTATTTGTATTATTTTCAAGAAATTCATTATTTAATATGTCTCAAAAAGAGACACATGAAATATGAGATGGATCTTCATAGACTTTAATAGATGTAATTGATAAGCAACTAAATTGATTTATTCATATATAAGAAATGGTCTAAATCTACAATAATCTAACTTGTTACAAGAACAAATAGTATTGATGTTATAATAATGTAACTATACTTTATTGCCAATGTAGAATTGAGGTTGTTTTTTGCAATAGGTATCTGCATTGATCTTTTGTTGTTCTTAAGCTTCTTTTAATTGTGCTTTCATTATTGTATGTAGCTTAGATAAATGATTCACAAAATCTTCTACCATAAGATCAACTTTTAAAAAATTAAAAGCACTAAGTTATAGAGAATAATCATAATTAGCAAAAAAAGGTGTTTATTGCAAAGAAGAATGTATCATGTTATTATAAGCAAATTTTGCCAATGGTAAAAAAGTTGTCAAATCATCCTATTGGTAGTATACCTCAAATATTATTCCAAAACTTAATTTATATGTTGTGTTTTTCAATTAGTTTGAGGATAGAAGGTTGAAATTAGTTTTATATCTACTTTTAGAATCTTGAAAAGAACTCATAAAAACTTTGGATACTAGCTCCAAAGTCTTGTTATTGAGAAGTTATAATGAGTTTGAAGAATATGTAATTGTGCTTCATATTTTGAAATATATAATCATCATTCAAAATAAAATATATTATTATTGAATTTAAACTTAAAAGCATCATGATTTTTATTTTTATTTTTATTTTTATTTTAATATTATGAACAAAAAATTAAAAGATATATTTAATCAAACTTACTAAAAAAATGAATCAATAATTAATATTATTTTTATTACATGTAGATGAAATTGCTCTAAGAAAATAGTCTGTTGTTGATCAAAACTTATATATACTTTTTTTGGTACAAGGTGAGATTGTCTAGAAAGAACATCTAACAAACTTTGTTGTGAACTTGAAGTCAAATCTAGACAAGAATATGCTTCAAAAAATTTGGCAATGATTCAAAATATGTGTTGATATAAAATATTTAAGGTTCTTGTGATGTATATAAATGGTGATTGGGCCTGAAGTGCCTTCTAAATAATAATACCATTCTTAAAACAAATCCACAATTACAAAAAATTCATATTCTTTTGTAGTCTTAGAGTAGATTAAAATATTGTCTAAGTAACACTAATCTTTAAATAACAAACAATAAAATCATTCAAAAACTCTCAAAAGACATCATTCATTAGATGTTGAAAAGTTTTTGGCATATTTGTAAATTCAAAAGATATGACATTGTATTCAAAATGTCCATACCTAGTTTGAAACATAGTCTTCCATTCATCTTTATTTTTAATGTATATTAGATTATATGCTCTTTGTAGATCTATTTTGGTATAGATTTTTTCTTGATTTAATTGATTAAGAAGTCTTGATATCAAGAGTAGAGTGTACCTATTCTTAAAATGGTAATCTTGTTGAATCCTTGATAATCGACACACATCTCTAATAATCTATTTATTTCTTTACAAATAAGATTAGTGATTCTATTGGAAATTTTGAATAGCGTATGAAATTCTTGGCCAAATTTTTTTTAGTATATTTTTTGAATTTAGCTAATTCAATTTGCAATAAATTATAGATTGGTCCAAATAATGGTTGGACTTCTTTTTGAAGTTCAATTGATCAATTATAAGGACAATGTTCATGAAGAGCATCTACATTTTTATTTTCAAAGATATCTTGATAATCTTAATATTGGCTTAAAATGCCACTTGAAGTCTTTCTACCATTAAAAATAAGTATAGCATAAATAATACAAGGTAATCTTTTTTTTGTACCATGTAAAAATTCTTATGCGTACAAATAAGGATTTAGTTATATTAAACTTTTGATTTTTTATTTGATTGATAAAACTCTTAATTTCACTTTGAAAAAAATTAAGACTAAAATTAATCCAATCTATTTGAAGATTATATTTTTTAGCCATAATAAACTTAAAATGATTAAATTAAAAAAATATCTAATTATATTAAATATCAAAAAGCTATTATGGTTACTAGTTGCTACTTCTATAGTAAAGATTTTATGAATAACATCTCCAAAAGATAACAAATGATCATCTATGATGTTAACCTTAGAAATTATAATTAATAAAAAAAGATATATTAAAAAAATAGAAAAAATAGAATAATATAAAAGAAGAAAAAAAAAATTAAAATTTGGTATAAAAAACAACTTATAGAAACAAGTATAAATAAGGTTAGAAAAGATAAAAGAGTATGAAAAAGAAAAGAAGATAGCCACTCATGTGTTTATAAGATAAGATAATTAAAACCACCTTTGATAGTTATGGTAGTTAGAAATAAATTAATTTTATTATATTTAATTAATATTAGAAGAAATTTACTATAAAAAAACTATAAATAGTTTCAAAGATATGTTATTATTATTAAAAAAAACATAATAAAGAAATTACAATTAACATGCTTGCATGTCATTTCATATACTTTTGGTTTAGTATTGAATGTGAAGAGTTGTCAAAAGAAATAAAATTATAATTTTTTGAAGATTAGGTTGGAGAAGATAAAGACAAGAAGGAAGTAAGGAAAATATAGATGTGTGAAGATTAGATCAAAGTATACAAAGAAAAGATAAAATTGATGAAGATATAGGTGTATGAAGACAATATGAAATTGACAAAAAAATTGAAGATAG